TGTGTGTGTGTGTGTGTGTGTGTGTGTGTGTGTGTGTGTGTGTGTGTTCATGCCTTAATTTGTATTCCCAAACCTCAAAGAAGTATAAATAATAATGTCACAACAGTGCTGGCTTATTTTAATATAAGCACTTTAAGAAAATTAGGATTTAATTCAAATTTTTTGAAACCAATTACCTTTTAATAAAGGACTTTTATACATCACAGTTTTTATTCATTTATATTTCATTCCTTGTGTTAGCACCGTTCTTTACATAAATGTATCCTCTTGTTTCTATTTGCTTTCACTAATAGTGGACAATAGAAGTGATATTAAATTACATTACATAGGAGTTTTTTGAGACACAGAATATTGGCTTACCACCATAAATCATCTAGCATGGCCATATTTATAGCACAAGACAAATATTTACTTGATCATTAAATAAATACATCTACAAAAATTGAACTAGACCCTAGCTTTATTTTAAAATGTTTATTCTTATAACAATTTTTTTTTATTTTTATATGGGTGATTTTAGAGAGACAGGAACATATCACAATGGCAGTTCGAAGCTTTATATCAAATGGAAAGAGTATGGAGGAATGTGCTGTCTTGATCACTTATGCATGTTTCTAGGTACCAAGCATTAATACATCAATGAGTGAGGACAAATTGACCTTGGCAGCCATCACCACACTAAAACTACACCACACTAAAACACACTAAAAATGGATGACTCAATGTAAAGTGGATTTTAGCAATCTCCCCACTTAATGTCTTCCAGCAATCTCTATTGGTCACCCTAAATTCATTAACAAACCGGGCACTATCAGTCCGTATTCTAGAATGTCAACATACTGTATGCTGACATAAGTGCTTGCAAATGTTCTACATGGGTTCCAATTTTTGTTTGCAATGTGTGTGATGTTATAATAAATGTTTTCAAAGCTCTTATTAAACACTGTTATGTACATGAAGGACACCCTCTTTCTGCCTACTCTTTCTTATCAATTGTCCCCTCCCAAATACTACCATCACAGACTCTATTTATTTCAGAAAGGCTCATACATTCCCCCAATGTATTGAAGCTCTATAAAAACAAATAAATAAATCCAATCAGTGTGCACAGGACTGTTCAAATATTGGGTGTTCTCATATCCTTGCTACACATACAATAACATTATAAAAGTTTTAAAAGATTAGCTTCTAACTCATAAGTACATGAAAAAAACTTCATTTTTGAAGACCTATGGCACTTCAAATGTCATTCAGTAACCCACATGGAACATTCAGGTCATTATGTTTCCATGAAATGTAACAGCAATATAATGGTTAATCCAGAGAAAGCTTCCAGTTTGTAGATGAAAAAACAATTACAAACAACAGATTTTATTCTTCCTATAAGCATGATAATATGCTATTCTTAATTTAAATTTTGTCACAGGATGTTTGATCCCATGTAAACCCTGAGATGGTGTACTGTAAAAGCATGTTTCTAGTTCTGGACTGGATCAGCCCTAGCACACACCTTTAATCCAGGAGCTTTCTCTACACAGGACTGAATAAAGTTAACCCAAGGTCAACAGGCAGAGCAAGTAAGCAGCTGACAGGGATTAAACAGAGTGGAGGGACAATTAACACAGAGTGGAGAAGAAAAAACTTTTGGCTTTTTTTCTTCTAGTACACTGGCTGAATAGAAATATCAGGTGGGTGCTCTCTCTGCCTCTCTGAGTCTGCCCAATATCTGGCTCCTGAGTCTTCACTGATTAAAATCAAATGGTTGCGATTTTACTGTTTTAATTACCACAAAATTCACTGATCATTTTAAACATATGGGACATATTCTTTAAAGAACATAGAAAGAAAAGGTAACAAAAACTACCACCTTAAGTTACAAGAGTCTAAGAATAACTGAAAAAAATCATTAAATTGTTCAGAATACAATAATATTAACAATTAGAAAAACAACAGCTAATTATAGATCATTCTTTCTCTAAATAACTGTGAAAATGATAATAATGATAATCTTAGCAGAGTAGCTCACTGTGATATTTAGGTTGAACAGAAAAATAAGTCTGTATAATAGTATGTTCTAATAGAGCCCTAAGTTCCTAAAATGAAGAAAAATCATAAATATTTTTATTTCCTCAGATGATGGAGTGAGATGAAAGCCATACCCAAGTATTGTGAATACACACATGGCTCGGGTTGAACCCAGAGCGTTTGTATGTATATATTGCATGTATATATCCCTAAGCCTAGGCTTAGAAGCTTCGTACCTACATAAAATCCAGGCTTCTGCAATCCTAGATCTTGAAGGTTTCAGCTACTATAGTAGCTAACCTAGGGATGGAATGTTCTCAGCCTCTGAGACTTACTGCTGAATAAACTCATCCTTTATTTCTGAACTCTCGCTGGCTGGCTCAACTCAGCTCAACTAAACTCCTCTCCAAAACAATTGATTCAAACTGGCTTCACTCACTCCTCACTGAATTTTTCTGCTTAGAAAAACTGCCTCTGAACTCCACAAACAGAGCTGCACACAACTGAACTATACTGTAGTGCCTGCAACCAACTCAACTGAACTTGATGGAATGTACTGCACTCCTCCTTACCTTCTCTGTGTTGCTCTTAAGTGGCTTATCTTTCCTGTCCTTGTGAGAGTTGGGAATATCCTATCTCCGACACATTCTGTTAAATCTTTCACTGGTTCAGCCCTTTATCAGTCCCTCAGTTAGATATAGATGTTTTGGATTAAAGGTGTGTACTAAAGGTGTGTCTGTATTTCAGCCAGAGGGATTAAAGGTACTTCAGCTAGGTCACATAGACCTAGATCTTTGGATGTGAGCTCTGGCTAGAGTAGCCATGTTGCTAGATTAAAAATCCTTTACAAAAATCATGCTTAAAACACTTAAAAAAAATAAGTTGTTAGATTTTGTTAAATTGAATTTACTGAATGTCAGCTGTGAGACCTAAGAGGAACTTTGTGCATGCACTGTAATTCCCTCAAGTGGTGCTGGAGAGTGAGAGTACGCACGCAGCCCAAATGCCAATCAGAGACCTGGATATGAAAACAGAAAGAAAAATCCAGAGAAGTCAGCTTTAGCAAGATTCGGCTCCTCCCTAGCTAAGACACCATTTTAAAATAAAAATGATGTGTGCTTGCTCAGTAAGAAGTTTTCATCAAATAAAACTATCAAGAAAATGAAATGGCAGAAAGCTTTCATGGTTTCTATGAAGTCAGGACTCATTTCTCTCAGATAATTCAAATAGTAATTGTGCATTTCAATAAAGTCATAAAGAAACTTTGCTTTGCCATTGGCCTAAAACTTTTAACTAATAAAAATTATTTTCTAATAAAAATTCTATATATTTGTTGGAACTGGCTGTCATTAAAATACTATGCCTTTGAAAGAAGTATATGTTCATAAATGTCACATCTATACATTTTACCATTTGATATTTATGAACACATTTCCAATATGCAAGTGTGTTCCTCTGTGATACCTAAAATAATATTTTACGTTGCAAATAGATCCATGGATTATTCTTAATTATAACCTTGATATGTTTCCAGAAAAGCCACAGAGAGCTGCATTGTCTGTGCTATTAGCCATGGATATCTCTAAAGTCGCAACAAGATCACTAAGTCTGAGTTAACAGATCTCACCAGACCAATTATATGATTTAGAAAATTAAAATACAAGAAGACACATATTCTATAAAGCTACTATCAGTAACTCATGTAAGTTGTATTAATTTGGATAGTTTTCTTGTT